ATTTTTTTATATTAAATATCTTTTGCTGCATTGTCATAATATCGAGCCAAATGGACTACTGATACACTAGAATAGAGCGGCAGCATGGTTAAATTACGACTTCGCTTATATTATCGATATTTATGTGTTTTAATCTATATGTCAGCCGCTGTGGCGTAGTGGCAAGCAGTGCGCGCTCCACTCCGCAGCACCTGGGTTCAAACCCTGGTCAAAGCAACATCGCAAAAAATATAGAAAAAAGGTTTTTTCTTAACAGCGGTCGTCCCTCGGCAGGAAATGGCAAACCTCCGAGTGTATTACTGCCATGAAAAACAGCTTCTCATAAAAATGCAATCGCCGTTCGGAGTCGGCGTAAAACTGTAGGTCCCTCCGCTTTGTGTGACAACATCAAGGCGCACGCCACAAGTCGGAGGAGAAGCTCGGCCAAACGCTAACATATTGTGTAAGCGCCAATCTGTATATCGTCGTTTAAAGTACAAAAGCGCGTACCGGGGTTCTGCAAAACCTCGTAACTGACATTTGTGCCAAAAAACATATTTGCTCACCGGAAGCTCCTATCATCAAACCCTTAACCATTTATACAATATCGATACCTAGCCATAAGGAGAAGAGATAATTAAGTTTAAAAGAGAGAACCGTTTTTAATTAAGAGTAAAACTTCTCTCTCCTGTAAAATTTAGGCAACCTCACATACGAGGTTTTGTATTTTCTTGATGCGCGGTTTTGTACTTTAAATGACGATATGTAAAGGTATTGCATACATATTTTGGTGCCTTTTCAGGTATAAAATCCATTGAGAAACGAAAGAAAACGGCATCCCTATGATTTCAACTTATTAAAAACGTTTTTAATATGAAAGACAAAAAACGTAAACAAGCAATTTCTGAATAAAAAACTGTTATCCACAAAGATGTTTGAATGGAAGCATTACAGATTTGAAAAAATGGCAAACCGCAAGGCTTTATTTGCAATAGGTCCTTTTTAAAGCACATTAAAGAAAAATACGCTTCTACATAGTTTCGAAATTAGCACAAAATGAAATTTTTTTGTTTGTTGTTTACAAATAAATACTTGCCAAGCATATAAGTCAAAATTGTTAAATATATATCGCTTTCATTCATTTCTTCATAGAGTTGGTGCTTCTTTTATGGGAAAATTCATACGGCTTTTGAACAGATTCGTCGGCCGCTGTGGTGTATGGTAAGCAGTGCGCGCTTTCACTCACCATCACCTGGGTTCAAGCCCTGGTCAAAGCGACATCGCAAGAAATTTATAAAAAGGTTTTTCTTAACAGCGGTCGTCCCTCGGCAGGCAATGGCAAACCCCCGAGTGTATTTCTGCCATGAAAAACAGCTTCTCATAACAATACAATTGCCGTTCGGAGTCCTTTACTTTGTGTGACAAAATCAAGGCGCACGCCACATATCGGAGGAGAAGCTAGGCCAAACACTAACATATTGTGTAAGCGCCAATCTATATATCGTCGTTTAAAGTACAAAAGCGCGTATCGTGGTTCTGAAAAACCTCGTAACTGACATTAGTGCCAAAAAGGATTTTTGCTCACCGGAAGCTCCTATCAACGAGGTTTTGTATTTTCTTGATGCGCGGTTTTGTACTTTAAATGACGATATGTAAAGGTATTGCATACATATTTTGGTGCCTTTTCAGGTATAAAATCCATTGAGAAACGAAAGAAAACGGCATCCCTATGATTTCAACTTATTAAAAACGTTTTTAATATGAAAGACAAAAAACGTAAACAAGCAATTTCTGAATAAAAAACTGTTTATCCACAAAGATGTTTGAATGGAAGCATTACAGATTTGAAAAAATGGCAAACCGCAAGGCTTTATTGGCAATAGGTCCTTTTTAAAGCATATTAAAGAAAACTAAGCTTCTACATAGTTTCGAAATTGGCACAAAATGAAATTTTTTTGTTTGTTGTTTACAAAAAAATACTTGCCAAGCATACAAGTCAAAATTGTTAAATATATATCGCTTTCATTCATTTCTTCATAGAGTTGTTTATAGGAAAATTCATAGGGCTTATGAATAGATTCGTCGGCCGCTGTGGTGTAGTGGTAAGCAGTGCGCGCTTTCACTCACCAGCACCTGGGTTCAAGCCCTGGTCAAAGCAACATCGCAAGAAATTTAGAAAAAGGTTTTTCTTAACAGCGGTCGCCCTCGGCAGGCAATGACAAACCTCCGAGTGTATTTCTGCCATGAAAAACAGCTTCTCATAAAAATACAATCGCCGTTCGAAGTCGGCGTAAAACTGTAGGTCCCTCCGCTTTGTGTGACAATATCAAGGCGCACGCTACAAGTTGGAGGAGAAGCTCGGCCAAACACTAACATATGTGTAAGCGCCAATCTATTATATTATTATTATTATTATGAAAAGATTCATACCATGTAAATGCACCATTTGATTGCGTTTTCCCACAAAATTGAAATTTCGAAATAATGGTGTATACATATCACGATGTATTGAAAATGAAAGTTTATTTCCTAAAATTATGTACGTACATAGAGAGATATGGGCCAAGGATGCGAAAAGTAGAACTTCGTGAGACAGAATTTTGAAAAAGCAGAATTAAAAATACAGAATACAGAATTTTGTTCGATCAGAATTTTTATACATTTTTTTTTTGATTTTTTTCAATTGAATGGTAACTATTTTTTTTAGTCAGTGGCAACCCTGATCGATATTTTGTTTGAATGCCTCCATAGAATAGAGATGACAGAATAGTAATTTGAAGAAAAATTTTATGGATATACCTACGAATTGATAACCTCCTTTTTGAAGTCGGTTAAAAACATTTAGAAGACAAGTTATATAATATTTTAAGAAAAAGTAAATATTCAACAAGTGAATAAATATTTATTCAAGGAACGTTCCGGTTTCGGTTCAGTAAAGTGTTTCGGTTTCGGTTTTGATTTCGTTCTTCAAATTTGGTTTCGGTTTTGAAATAAAAATATTAAAATAAGTTTCACAAAAAAGCAGGGGCCGAAACTAACGATAATTTTTTTTACCTTGGCCAAATATTTATACAAAAGTCATTTCCTGATAATAAACAAACCGCTTATCCAAATTAAACAAGTTTGGTATCAAATCAAAGAGGACTAAAATAGCTTTAAAACTGAAATGTCTAAACGAGGAAAGCCCCCTATTGGAAAAAAAAATTTAATAAGAAATGTTATTTAATTACTTGTTTTTGTTATTTTATGGCCTTATAACAATTATATTCAACAATTTTTATTGAGCTTGAGGCCGTTTTTTAATGCAAAACTATTGTGGAAAAGCAGCAATAATTTATGAAAATGGTAGAAGTGATAGCTATTTCGGAAATCACCGCATTTCCATATCAGACATCTTTCAGTGGGATTCGATCCAACGAGCCCATCAGACTCAGCCAGTTGCCTACGCACTGTGCTAACCCAGCAAAAAATCGGTAATCGCTTTTAGTGAAAAAATAGAATGAATATCCAAAAATTCTTTTTGTACCGATACTTGCTGTGGAAATTTTTCTCGCATAAAAATCATGTTTTGCTTTGTTCAATTTTCAGCGAAGTTGAAGTCAGTCAATGAAGTGAAGTACAAGAGTGAGGAAGTACAATTTTAAGCTTAATTAAATATGCATGTATGTACATACCGATTTTTAAGTAAAATCTAAATACCTAACATACATATGCACATACATAAAAACTTATTTATAAAAATTTTAATTAATTTTAATCTTTTAAGACATTTTCTGATTTCAATTTAATATAAATAAGTATGTTCTTATGTAGACATTCTATATTAGTTTCTCTGTAAGGCATTCTTTGTTAGCTTCTCTGGATTCTGTTTTTCCATGCTTTCTCCCTTCGTTCGAATGTAATGCTGGGGGTAAGAGCTTACGGCCAACGATACGCCCATGTTAAAATAATTCCTTCTTGAAGCGAAAAGGTAAGCGATTCCCATCGCCTAGCTCGTTTCGACTTTCGTTTCTGTCGTAATCGTGTTTTTTGCTGGGAAGTTTCGCCTTATAAACCCTTATTGTTTTTTCCACTTTTTCATTTGTGAAGCCAACTACAATCAATCGCAGCTATTCCAGTGCTATTTAAACTTGTGGTTCTTGGTTTTCTTGGTTTTTGTCATTTGTTATTTAATTACCATAGAAGAAGCCTTGGATCAGGTATATGAATTTCTTTTGTATTAGATTATAAACAAATATAAATAAATAATATAATGATAAATTTGTTTAATTTGGATAAGCGGTTTGTTTGTTATCAGGAAATGACATTTATATAAACATTTGGCCAAGGCGACTTTAAAAAAAAATAACTGTTTTCGGTCCCTGCAAAAAAGATTATGTACCTTCCAAGATTTGTTAAATTGTTTTGTTACTTTAAACGTTGTGGTTAACTTTATTTCAAATAAAGAAAAAACTCTGAATCACTCACACTTTGCAAATTGCCTATCAGCTTGAAAGCAATTTTTCTTTCAAAACCATCGGCCATTTTTCGTTCAATATCAACAGCTGAGCGATCAAAGCTTTGGGAAGTGAACTTTTGTTTTCAGAAAATTGTGTGTTTAATAAAATATGAAACAATAGTAAAGACGACCCCGACGTGTGAAAACTATACATGTGAGCAGATTAAAAACAATTTTTGAACGTGTAAACGCAAAATATCGCTTGTTTCTTTTTACTTGGACGTTACACGATCAAGCGCACTTGCACTTTTAAAACTTGGTCATCGATTTGATATCAATTTTTCCTTTCAAGTCGCGTGGCAACTTGATAGTCAAGTCAAACAGCTGATCATATTTAGTCTGTTCCAGTACTCCATGATTTAGTCAGATTTTGTGTCAGACGGTGTATGTATATTAGAGTCACCAAATTGAAGACGATGGTAGGTGGATTTATCGTTGAATAGCTTAAGTTTACCGACTACACCAGTTTGAAATTGTATGTACATTAGACTGTGTCAAATAAAACGAATGTTTGGTTTCTTTCGGTCCCATATAAAAAATGTGGCTAGTTTTCAGCCGCCTTCCTCCATTTTTCAGTTAGCGCTCGCAAAAATAAGAATTTTTAATGAAAAAAGTTTTCTCTTTTTTAACCGAGTTCATCTAAAGGAGGAGGATATCAATACGTCGGATTATTTTTTTGGTATGTATTTTACCACATAACTTTGGACCACGTTAACCGATTTCTATAATTTTATATATATTTTTTTTTAAGTAAAGTTGGTACCTCAGAGGTGGGCCCATACTAATTTCGTTTAGATCCGATCACTGGAACAGGAAGAAATTAACGGGAGTCTTAAATTTTGTTTCGGTTGTGTTTATTTTGCATACAAATTTTTTTTTTAATCAACATTTTATAATTATAACAAATCAAAACAAACAGCTTAGCCCATTCAATTCTAGTACAACAAGTGAAAGTTTGAAGTAGTTAGGACGTACCGTGGATTTTTGGCATTTTTTTGTCCTATTGTACATATAGTGTACAATAGTGTAGTGTATGTATTTTTGGAAGTTTCACACTGTGCACCCTATTTCCATACCAAGGCAAAGCTCAAGCGGTATTGAACGCAGCGCAAAGTTTGTACTGAAATCTTTGAAAACAAGAAAGCGAGTTGATATAAACGTGGTAAGTTATAAGTAATAAAATAAAATAGATTTTTTTACTCCGTATGTAATAACTATATAATACACATTGAGAACATGCGAAATGCAACCAATTTCTCAACTTTCATATTCATTCGTTCTTAATCCCTTGAAAAATGTTCCCATTATTGTTTTGTTGACAAATCTGAAATTCCACTTCATGTTCATATCGGAAAAATCACAGAAATTCATGCACGCCCGCCTAGCCGTCACATTCGCCACCAGACATCTCCGCTCTGTTTCCGTTTCACTTTGCACTAGCAACTGTGTTTGCTGGTCGTAATACCAAAATTGATTGCCACCCTGATGGTGGCACGGCCATAGCCAAACTGGTGCATCGAGTGTCCATGACTGCACCTCCAGACAATTTCCATCTGGCTGGCGAAGATCACGACGAAAGGTAAGCTGCCAATGTTGCGATGTGTATGGGTACTTCAGGTCAGGCGAACAAGGTCGCAGGGCGCCAATTGGTTGCCGAGATGGCAGATGCATTGAATCCAAACAAACTGCGGCGCAGCAAAACTTTGGAGTGCACCAAACGCATAATCTGGTGGCTCAATTGGTGGATATGTCTGCGCTAAGTCTGGTGCAATAGTTTCGAGGTACCATTTGAACGTTTTGCACTTCAGCCGCTGTCGTAGAGTACGCCGCGCGCTTACATCACCTGCATCGAGTAGGACAAGCGTGCGAATGTGCTCATATAAAGCTGCTTGGTATTCATCCAACCATACTGATGCGACGCGTTTGTAATTCTACCAAAAAAAGATCTTTAGGTTAAATATGGGTAGGATGTTGGTATAAGTATTGCGGTGGATTCACCCTCGAAATAAAATCATCGGAGCGATTGGTGTATTTGACGTGAAATGCTCCATCCCGGTAAAGATGTCCCATGCGTGAGCACGGCACTTCTAATATTCGGCCACCGCACATCCATATTTTGAAGCTGAGCTCAAATTGCTCGGCGCCCCACACATCCAAGCCTTCGTCGTATGCTCCCAAATGCCAAAAGAACTTCGCTTCGATTGCAAAAAGGCCTCCGTTCATCACAGGATTGCTGTGTGGTGCCGGCAGCGCTCTTCGTTCTTCGTCCAGTAACGGCAGCTGTACGTAATTGAAGTTCCAATCAAATCCACCACGCGAAGGTGACGACCTTATGTATTCGAAAGTGGCATAATTAATAGTATCTATTAGTGGCGTCGTGCTGGTGTGTGGATCATCAAAGATTGGTTGCAACAGCGGCAATGAAATTTGCTCTGAGAGTAAAGCATTAAAGCCGTATTGGCGCAAGCTTGCAGCTGCTGCGTCTTTATATTCCACATTCGCTAAGGTACCTGGCTGGCCCTGCTCACCTGCTCCAATGCGCACAGCATCGCGAGACATAGCGGCGTAGTCGTGCCAATCATGAAGTTTTCCGTCACTTTGTTTATTACTTTGGCTTTGCGCCTCTTTTGCTGCATTTCGTTTCTGGACGTGCTTATAAACAGAAAAAGAAATGAAACAAAATACCAGAGTTCCAATTATAATTCGTCTCTTGGTGAGCTTTATACGCTGTTCTGGTAGTACGATGCGTATCACGTTGAATACGCTTGTGAACAACTGGCTGAATTTTGCTTCACGTCATCGTCGCAGCTCCAGAAGTTGTATTTCAGCTTCGGTATCTTGTCAGCGTGTGCGCACATCACACTTGTCTTATACAGACAATTCAAGCACAAATGAATATATTTTATAATAATTTTTATGTAGGTAATATGCAGAGAATACACACGCTCAAAGTGTGGTGGATATAGCAAAAGCTTTTGCTATAGTTGTAATAATGAGGATATATATTGGCACTAAAAAGTTTCTATGTATGCTTTTAGGCATTATTATATTGGATGCAAAATTAACAATTACAATTAAGTAACTATCAGTTTTTATAAATAACAACTTTATAAATACAACTTTAAAAAATAACCAAAACTAAATTCATTTTGAGCGCTAAGTAAGTAGTCCAAAGCGTTTTTTTCAAGACGGAGTTAGAACATAAACAGAATTTGTCCAAATAGTTCTGCATTCGGTTTCTTCGAACAACGAAATAAGACTCCAGCGCCAACCGGCGACACAAATTGTGAATCCAAACTATCCAGGGACCCAGTAAAATACACACAAAAAGTTTCGTTAAAATCGGTCGAGCCGTTTAGGAGTTTACCCACAAACACACGTGCACAATAATAATCACCACACAGCATGCTGAAATGACTCGCTTATATATACACGAGATTTGGAAGTTTTTATCCAGACGCCCAATCGACATGTTTGAGATATCGCTGGAAAGGTCTTGCAGAGTGTGTCAAAAAAATGTATTCAAGCTTCATAAACGATCAACCGGCTTTTTAAAATTTAGGCTAAAGTGTTGCGAAACAAAAAACGTTTTTTTGCTTTTGCCGGTTTAAAGGGGCATGTGGGTACACCCAACATATTAAGTATTATTCTATAGGCCAATACTTTTCAAACGATACCTTATATATTGAGTTCCGGCTACTAGTTGGAAAGATATAGAGCTAAATGTGTTTTGGTTCGTGTCTCCACTACGAGATGCTTTGGTATGTATGTGGCGTCTGTACGTACCCTGCAAAAAATTGTGTGACTAATCTCCGAGATTACTCTCAATCGGGTACAATTGGGCATTAATTAGTCCCAACTAGTCTCAGAACGGTACTAATGGAGGTCAATTAGTCTAGACTCATCCCTTATGGGTATAATTGGAGATCAATTAGTCCCCAACTCATCTCTAACGGGTACTATTAACGATTTAATGATATGTACGCACTTAGTCAATGAAATTTCATGTGCGGCGTTGGCACGCAGAGTGAGTATTCGCCTAACAAAACTGAGCACCGCGGTTCGAATCTCAGCTGGCGCAAATTTTTATTTTTATTTTTTAANCAGTTCATTCCATATAAAGAGATCAAAAGTCGTATTAGTCGCATGCTCCTTTGCGATTGCTCCCGGAGTCATCCCGAATTAGTCCCATTTTTTGCAGGGTACCTTCATTTAATTTTTTTCAAACTTTCAGGAATTAAAGTACACAGAAAACTAAGAAGGTTTTGTTCCAGGATGTTTTGATTCGTATGCCTGTGTGGGTGTGGCTGCTGCCTGAAATTCGAAAAAAGGCAATTTTATAAACAATCCATGTCATTGGTGTGGAAATCAGTAGAAGGGTTTTCAAACAAGCTATCTAACGCTATCTTTTGTGTTTATAAAACATAAATATGTCATAACGTTATCGCCTGAAAACTAAAAATCGGGCTGCTGAAAATATACATTTCGGGCATTTTCTTAAAAACTGGTCAGTCGATTTTATTCTAAGTTTCCACAAATCTAGCTCAAAACCTTCGCTTTCATCTGGTATATAGCTTGTATCTGGAAAAACTCTTGTTGTGCGAATTATTAAAGTATCACTTTCTGTGTGAATTTCTAGCAATGTATTATCAGTTGGGTAGTTGCAACAATGTTGCCATTTTTCATCAGTACGGCAGTAATGCCGCTTTTATTACGTGCCTCGAACAAGCCCATTGCTATTCAAATTGAAAACATGTCGCTCCAAAAAGAGTCAAATGGTTAAAAATTAACATATCCGTCTAATTTGGTTACTTTAAAATAACATACCGAGTTCCCCGAAAAAATCGCCCATTCCCCGATTGCCACTTAAACCGAAATTCCCTGCGGGATTTCCCGCGAGTTGACAAGTTGAAGGATGTAGCTGTGCTAATCACTTCGTACATGTCTTGGAAACCACAATTTATGTGTATTTTAGAGTTTTTTTCAGTCACATGCCGAAATTGTAACATTTTTCCCCATTTTAATTGCAGGTATGTACACAGTATTTAACTATGCTACATGGGTTTATCACCCAAAGTTGGTACCAAGTTGACAAGTTTTTATAATTTCTCCTATTTTTTTATTTTTAATTTTTTTGAAAACAAAGGATATGATCATTCTTTTTCGCTTTATTCCGTATTCGAAAAATTATGTGTTTCAATGGACACATCGATTTAAATGCATAATTTAGATTTAGAGAATATTTTTAGCAATTTATTTGAGAAAAATAAAACATTTATTTCATTGTTTGTATTTTCGTCGATTTTAAATTTGCTACCCCAAAATAATTGATATCAAATAAAACACCTTTGAGGTAAAATTTTCGAGTGACGAAAGCTGAACTAGAAACACAAAATTTGTGATATCAATTTCGTGACGAAAATTATACACATTTTTTAACTGTATGAACAAAAAAGATTTTCCCTACGTTTCCAAGGTAGAAGCATCAAAATCAACTTGGTAAACTTCAAAGTCGTTTTTCTCGAAATCTTTTTTTCTGAGCGTAGGTCCCTTTTAACTTTACGTGTCACATATGTCTTCTTCTTCTTATTTGGCGCTGTAACCGCCTAAGCGATTTTGGCCGAGTCCAAAACAGCACGCCAGTCATTTCTCTTCTGTGCTAACTGACGCCAATTGAAAATGCCAAGTGAAGCCAAGTCCTTCTCCACCTGGTCTTTCCAACGCAGAGGAGGCCTTCCTCTTCCTCTGTTACCAGCATCGCGGCCCGCGTTGAATATTTTCAGAGCAGGAGCGTTTCTGTCCATCCGAACGACATGGCCAAGCCAGCGGAGCCGCTGAATTTTAATTCGCTGCACTATGTCTATATCGTTGTAAAGCTCATACAGCTCATCGTTAAATCGTCTGCGATATTCGCCATCACCAACGCGTAAAGGTCCGTAAATCTTTCGCAGAATCTTTCTCTCGAAAACTCCAAGAGCCGCCTCATCAGATGCTTTCATTGTCCATGCTTCCGCGCCATACACCAGCACAGGCATGATGAGTGACTTATAGAGTGTGATCTTTGTACGACGAGAGAGGACTTTACTTCTCAATTGCCTACTCAGCCCAAAGTAGCACTTGTTGGCAAGAGTGATTCTCCGTTGGATTTCAAGGCTGAAATTATTATTGGTGTTAATGCTGGTTCCCAAATAAACGAAGTCGTCTACTTTTTCAAACTTGTAACTGTCAACAGTGACGTGGGTGCCAAGACGCGTATGCTCTGACTGTTTGTGTGCTGACAGGAGATACTTCGTTTTGTCCTCGTTCACCACCAGACCCATTCGCTTTGCTTCTCTATCCAATCCCGAGAAGGCAGAACAGACGTAGCCCTTGTTTTTACCGATAATATCGATGTCGTCGGCATACGCCAGCAATTGTACGCTCTTATAAAGTATTGTGCCTGAGCGGTTCAGTTCTGCGGCTCTTATTATCTTCTCCAACATAAGATTAAAGAAATCACACGAAAGGGAGTCCCCTTGTCTGAAACCTCGTTTGGTATCAAACGGCTCGGAGAGGTCCTTCCCTATTCTGACGGAGCTGGTGGTATTGCTCAACGTCATTTTACACAGCCGTATTAGTTTCGCGGGGATACCAAATTCAGACATCGCGGCATAAAGGCAACTTCTCTTCGTGCTGTCGAAAGCGGCTTTGAAATCGACAAATAGATGGTGTGTGTCGATCCTATTCTCGCGGGTCTTTTCCAAGATTTGGCGTATTGTGAATACCTGATCTATGGTGGATTTTCCAGGCCTAAAGCCACACTGATAAGGTCCAATCAGCTCGTTGACGGTGGGCTTCAGTCTTTCGCACAATACGCTCGATAAGACCTTGTAACCTATGCTTAGAAGGCTAATTCCGCGGTAGTTGGCGCGTATGGCGGGGTCGCCTTTCTTGTGGATTGGGCAGAGCACACTTAAATTCCAGTCGTCGGGCATGCGTTCATCTGACCATATTCTGCATACGAGCTGATGCATGCACCTCATCAGCTCCTCGCCGCCGTACTTGAATAGCTCGGCTGGCAGGCCGTCAGCTCCAGCAGCTTTGTTGTTTTTCAGCCGCGTAATCGCTATTCGTACCTCGTCATAGTCAGGCGGTGGGACAGCTACTCCATCATCATCGACTGGGGACTCGGGTTCGTCTTCCTCACTACTTTCAGCGCTGCTACCATTCAGTAGGTTATAAAAGTGTTCCCTCCACAATTTAAGTATATTCTGGACATCGGTCACTAGGTCGCCATTGTTGTTCTTACAGGAGTTCGCCCCGGTCTTGAAACCTTCCGTAAGTTGCCTAACCCTCTGGTAGAATTTTCGGGCGTTCTTCCTGTCGGCCAGCATCTCAAGCTCTTCGCACTCACGTATTTCGGCCTCTCTCTTCTTATTGCGGCAAATACGTCTCGCTTCCTTCTTCAGTTCCCTATAACGGTCCCACATGGCTCGCGTTGCGCCCGATCGCAGCGTGGCCCTGTAGGCGGCATCTTTTTTCTCTGCGGCTTCTTGACATTCCTCATCGTACCAGTTGTTCTTTCGGGCTCGCTGAAATCCAACTACTTCTTCGGCGGCGGTACTTAATGATCGGGAAATGTGGTTCCACTGCTCGCGTACGTCGGATTGTTGAAGAGTGCTCTCATATATGTATTTCATTTATTTATTTATTTACATACAGATTACAATGTGTTATAAATAAGAGGTACAAACGACAATGTTATCCAGATCCCATTGAAGGTTAAACGAGTTTGAATGACAGACTACTGTAGGAAATCTGATGTAAAATTTTTTATGTTAACGGGTGATACTTTTAGGTCAAATAGCTTGGAGAGGTCACTCATCGGTGACACGTGTTGGACGAGTTTAACTTGTCAAAAGTTACTCCAGTCGCCTCTCCACAACCAAAATTCTGCATTAGCCACTGGTTCCACATACATCTATATGTACATACCATATATTCTTTCTCGAAGTTGGTGGCGTGACCTTTTTTTACCAAATTACATATAATCTTAAAAAAGCTCATATGCCTAATGTCCGGTTTTCCACCGGAATTATATAATTTATTTTATATTAAGACTTCCGTCAAAATATTTCGGAAAGATATTACGATTTACGTAAGATCCCAGTGGTGAAAATGGGAATCCGTTACCTTTTTCTACCAAGAAAAAATTAACAACTACGGTTGAACGAAAAGATGCATCGCAATGTGAGCGAGCGGATAATGTGAAGTTTTGAAGCCACCAACAAAACAAAAAGTTCGAAAACTAACTCAAGCATGTTTGGGCTGTCCATATATTACGTAAGACCTTTGTGGGGGAGGTCGGGTCTAGAATTTTCTTACTTTTTCTTATATGGGGGGGGGAGGCGTCCCGTAGAAACAGGCGAAAATTCCCTTACGTAATATATGGCCAGCCCCTTTTTTGTTTACTTTATCTCAACAACTGCTGAAGCCGAATGGATGCGTGTTCGTTTGCCGTGTTTTTGATCACGGGTTCAAAACCTGCGGCACGGACTTTATTTTTTATTTATTTTTTTTATTCTATTTATAGATACTATTTGTACTTTCATAAAGTGACGTGCGACACATTACTGTCGTATGCCATCGCTCGGGAGAAATTCTTGCATCTTTTCGTGTGTAGGTTATATGGGCTATCCATTACTTTTTGCATTCCCAGCCATTACCTTTTCCCATTGGGATAGACCGGTTGAAAATACCTCTCATTATTTTTATTCCATTGAAAATTTGTAAACCTTGCAGACCACTTAAGCTTAAACTCTTCTATTGATTTTTTAGCAAACATATTTTTGGAAACTAATTTTATTTATAAAAAGCTCGATTTATCGAGGTGTTTTCAAAACTCTCCAGCTTTCTAAGGGTCCCCTAATGTGCATACACCCAACTCCCCGTAAAAATTTAACTCAAATATTACATGAAGTAAATACGCTAATCTAAATAAGGGACCCAAAAAGTAGGCAACATATTTTTTCGTTGAGTTAACCCTTTTTTAAAAATCACCAAAAATACCCGCTACAGTAACATTAAACTCTTTCAAGAATTGCTCGGACCAATCATTTATTCGTTGCTGGTATACTTCAGATAGTTCATCTTTGTAGCTGCCAACTATTCCACGACGCATAAATCTGAAAGCACATAGGTATGTATGTATGTACATATATTATGCCTCAAACAATTATATATGCATATGGCTCATTCCATCTCAAATCACCCAGGCCGGGGGAAAGTGAATTTAAGTTTGCGATAAAACTCGCAGGGATTGTTCCTTGAACAATTTAAGGAGATACGTATTTTTTCTTTTTGCTCAGAAATGCGAATTTTTCAAATATGAATTTTTTTCTTTTTGAGTACGAACGCTTCTTTTTTTCTCTCTTAATAGCAACTTTTGATGAAATCGTTTATAACTGCCGCAAAAAAGCAAGGATTTTAACGATTTTTTTAAAATTGCAGATATTGATCTACTGAATCGATCTAGTGAACTAAACATCAGTAATTCTTTATTAATAATTAATTATTGTTTATAAACAAGAAAAAAATTTTTTTTCGAATTGATTTTTTTCAAATTGCCACATCTTTTTATTCTCTCAAACTTTTTTGTATAATGGGGAATAGTATAAACTATTTTCAGTACGAGTAGCAATATGCTAAAATTCGTCATTTTCGAGTTATGATTTTTTTTCTGAAAATGCACTTATATGATGCTAGCAGATTTTCGTGCCAGTTGAGG